GTGTGTGTGTGTGTGTGTGTGTGTGTGTGTGTGTGTGTGTGTGTGTGTGTGCACGCGCGCGCGCGAGCACCAGCGCGTGCGTGCCTGTTTGTATGGGAGGAGGGGGCCGGTAGGTCCTGTGTTCTGTGATACATATGTACCTCCATTATACATTATTATGGATTAGTAAAGAGGGATGGTGTTAGGGATGATGGGGAAGGGAGGGGGGGGGACGATGTACGCAGTGAGAAAGAAAGAAAAAAAAAGAAAAAGAGAGAGATATAGAGAGATAGATAGATAGATAGATAGATAGACAGATAGAGAGAGAGAAAAGGAGAGAGAGAGAGAGAGAGAGAGAGAGAGAAAGGGGTCACTCCAAGCTAAGAAAAACAAAAAACAACTATATCTCTGTAAATAAGGTCATGCTCTTCAGAAATGTCCCACTCACTGATCGATCCTCTGTTTAGATTTTTTTTTAGCCAAGGCTGGACAAAGGTTTACCTCTCGAAATCCTGCTTCTGGGATACGAATTCAAAATGAATATTATACTGAGTCTATAAGTGTGTTTGATTCTTTCAGAACATCTCTCACTAACACAAACACATGAAGTGGATTGTTGAAATCAAGTGTTTTATTGAAACATAAGTGTGTTGGATTTTTTTCAGAATATCTATCACCAATGCAAACACATGAAATGAATTGTTGAAATCAGTGTTTCATTTAAACATAATAATTTGTGAGGCATCTTGGTAAAATCAGGCGCTCGTCAAAATAATGAAATCGATTAAATCTGTTACAGTATTTTTCTGGTCGTTGGGCATTTTTTTCTCTCGAATCTTCTTGGCTCAGCAGTATTTACGTCCATTTTTACTGGAAAAACGTTGACCAAAGGCACCAAATAATGTAAATTTCCAGTTTTCAAGGACTCTCAAGCTTTGGAATTCTCCAAACTTTAGCGGCAACTTTCTCGCTAATTTTACCTCTAAAACTAGGAAACCCCCACCTACTTCAATAGGAATGATCCTGGCCTCTATTCAAGATAGATGGGTATAAATTTCTTTCATCAAAACCAAGGTAAATCAGCAGGCTTTATAATGCTACCAACAACTCCGCATGCCCATATAATTATGACGAGCGCCTGATTCCACCGCATCGTGACACATTAGTGCCTGGTGTCGTCATGAAGAAGCCCTCCTAGATTCTACTTCTTCGGCTCTGGGGCTGGGGCAGGGGAGAGGCCGGGCAACAAAAGGCCTAGACTCTGTCCCAAACCCCCCAGATTTTGCAGAAGAAACTTGGGGTAGCTCTCAGTGATAAACGTGACGGAACATTGGGCAGGGCAGGAAGGCACGCACAAAAAGGACTGCGCTTTGCAGAAAAGGGTACTCGCTGGGCTTAAAAGCTGCATGAGTCCAGATTGGCACCCTTTCGATATCTGGGAGCACTGGCTTACACAGCCGGCGAAGCAAGTGCAAGTGGCGCTGCACAGGTCGGTACAGGCAGCTCGGGTGACAGCGCAGTTCAGGAATGGCGGCAGATCCACGCATGCTGCGCTCGCTAAGTTGCACGCGAAGATGCATCCCTTTTGGCAATTTCCGCCTATACTAGCCACTCCCTGGGCGGCAGAGAGTCCGGCGAGACAAACCACAGCCAGAACTGCAGACACGGAAAGAGAGAGAGGAGGGGGCTTTTTACCCATAACATAATTTAGATATGTGGGGCAAGCTCAAGTGAGCCTGTGTGGAGCAGGCCACCAAAGAGGTCTCCCTTGAGTGGATGCTGTAGAAAACATTTGTTTCTCTGAGTGTGTGGGTGAGTGCCACGGCTACAGGAGGGAGGGAGTCGAGCATAGCAAGATTGGTGATTATAAAAAGATTGTTTGAATGATTGATGCAGTATTTGAAGTGCAGGAAAGAAAGGGAACGTATCTATCTCGATCTCACTCACTCACTCACTCACTCACTCACTCACTGTCTGACTGTCTGTCTGTCTGTCTGTCTGTCTGTCTGTCTGTCTGTCTGTCTGTCTGTCTGTCTGTCTGTCTGTCTGTCTGTCTGTCTTTTCTCTCTCTCTCTCTCCGCCTTCACTTTGTCCCCTCCCTAAATATTCAACACAAAGATGTACACCCGCAGACATACTTACGATTCTCGATCGCACGTACGCCTCTACCTTTTTATGTGAAAACTTCCCCTGAAAACCATGATAAATCCCCG